CGTGGCCCGGCGTTTCACCAGCCGCCTCTTGCCCTACAGTTACACCAATGGCTCCCTGCGACCCATCATCTGGTGGGCACCTGATCTCCAGCACCTGAAGGACACCAACAATGACCAGAACTCCTGTGCCCTGGGGTGGCTGCAGTACCAGGAGATGCTGCGGCCCCATGGACTGATGTCAGCAGCCGGGGATGGTCCCTGCTCCAGCATCCCGCGTGAAGAGTGGAGCCGCCTGGCTCTCTTCGACTTTCTCCTCCAGGTAGGGCTGAGGTGATGGAGACCACTTGTCCCACTGGCTGTGCTGCCCAGATTCCCCTGTGCTGGTGCCTGCCTTGTCTGACCACAGAATCATAGAATGGTTTGGGTTGGAAGGTACCTTAAAGATCATCTAGTTCCAACTCCCCTGCCATGGGCAGGGACACTTTCCACCAGATCAGGTTGCTTAAAGCCTCATCCAACCTGGCCTTGAACACTTCCAGGGATGGGGCATCCACAACTTCTCTGGGCAACCTGTTCCAGTGCCTCACCACCCTCATTGTAAAAAATTTCTTCCTTATGTCTAAGTGAGATCTATCCTCTTTCAGTTTAAATCCATTGCCCCTTGTCCTATCACTACGTGCCCTTGTAAAAGGTCCCTCTCCAGCTTTCTTGTAGGCCCCCTTTAGGTACTGAAAGGCTCCTATAAGATCTCTCTGGAGCCTTCTCTTCTCCAGGCTTAACAACCCTAACTCTCTCAGCCTGTCTTCATGGGAGAGGTGTTCCAGCCCTCAGATCATTTTTGTGGCCCTCCTCTAGACATGCTCCAACAGTTCCATGTCCTTCTTGTGTTGGGGACCCCAGAGCTGAGCACAGCACTCCATGTGAGGTCTCACCATGGTGTCCTTCTCTGCAGGGTCGCATAGGTTGCAATTTCTAGGGATGTATTTTTACTTGTTAGCTAACAGGGAGCAGCAGAGCTTTGTGCAGAAGCGGTCTGGCTGTGCTTGAAACTTGCAGGGAAATGCAGGCAGGATCCGGACATGGCAAGTCCATTCTCACATGGCCGAGCTCTCTCCTGGCATGGCTCCGTTGGCTCTGCTGCGTGCAGATGCCGGCAGCGACTCAGGATGGGGCATCCCTAGGGACAAGCAAAGTGTTCTGCATCAGCCCCATCAGATCCAATTCCAGGGATGCACTGCTGGCACTGGAAATCAGGAGCCCTGCCCCTTCGTTTGGCACTGCTTTCCTCCTCCTCAGGATTAATAGGGTTTAATCTTCCATCCTGAAAATCATACCCTGCTGCTACGAGGGATTACGACAGCGTCCAGGAGGGTTATCCTTTCTTAGAGGGCAGCTGTGAGGAGGCAAAAGTGGTTTCTATGGAAAAAAGCCTGTTTAGGCACCTTGGGGCTGGAGCTTTGGTTATCAAACAAGAGAAAACCGCCTGAAAGGGCAAGTATTAAAATAAAAAAAGAAAGAAGAGAATAAAGAAAAAGAATCTAGACTGTTAAAATATGTGTTCTCATTAATATCTCTCTCTTTTTTTTGGCAAAACCTGACCATTAATCTTTACAGCCTCAGACTATGGCTGGCAGAGGTGGAGCAGTCCTGGCTGAGCTTGGAAATATTCTAGCTGAAACAGCCAGAGAAATGAGAAGATCAACCAACTCCCTTCCCAGGCCAAAATGTCATTGAGTGCAATGGAAAGGCTGAGTCTCCAGGAGAAAACATCTAGTTTTAAGGAGACTTTCTCTTGGAGGTCTGAAGCAGCACAGTGATAAATCCAAGGGCAATCCACAGGTTTTCCTCAGTAACTGCAATGGGATCCTGCCATGCGGAATAGTCACGTGAAGGTAAAAAGGCACCAAGTCAGCAGGATGGTATAAAAGTGCAATAGCATCCTTCAGAAACGGCTTTAGCCTCTCACAGCCCTTGCTGGGGAAGGAGAAACTGCGAGCTTTGAGCCCTGCTGTACATTAGCATTGAAATCTTGATTGTTTTCTTCAATTCGCTTTAAAAATTGGCTTCTTCTATATTGATTTCTCTTGGTGTCTGCCATAAGGGAACACCCCTTTCAGTGTGAAGCTTTACCAGGTGCAAAACACCGAGTTGAGTGGAAAGGGAGCAGCTGCAGATAGCTTTATCCTGTGCTTTAAAAAGGGCCAAAAATGCATTAACTCTGAGGCCCTGCAGCCATGCCCCTGCCCTGCGGCACCTCCTTCCCAGCCAGGGAGAAAGCAAGGAAGATTCCCCTGGGGGAAGCCATCCCAGGCTGAGTCGTGGTGGAAAGCCCTGTCGGACCCAAGGGGATGCTCTGGAGGCTGAGCTTTGCATGGGACCAAAGTGGGGCTGAAGGGGAGCTTCTCATGGGGTTTGAGCTTGGATGGGAGAAGGTTTGGCTCATGTATTTGTGTTCCAGCAGTAAGACCTAGTGTCCCATTCATTAAAGTTGTTTAGGCTCTGGTGAGGAGAAATATAAATGATCCGGGGAGGGCCAAGGGGGAGGGAGGGCTCATCAACATGTCAGTGGTGATCTCAGCATCTCCACAACTGGCTGGTCCATCTTTTGGGGCTCCACTTAGACACCAGGTCTACCCTCCACCTGGCACCTCTGCAGGTCCAGGAGTGATCCCCCTTGGTTTCACAGGTCTTCGTGGGCAGGTGAACGGAGGCTTGAGAGCATTTAATGTCTCTGTAAGTCATCTCAGGTTGTCTTCACCTTCTCTGCAGCCTGGAAAACAACACAGCAGGTGAGAGAAACTGGTGTGCTGAGATTTCCAGTAGGTAGACCAAGGAGATGCACGGAGGAAATGTGATGTTTTTTTTAATTTCAATGTGTTTCGTGTCAAAAGACACTCTAGCACTTTTAACTGATGGGTCTCCTGATGGAGAAATGCTGACCCGAGTGCTTTGTTGAACCTCAGGAAAAAGAGGGATTTGTTAAGGGGCTCTGGTGTGGGACTAATCTTTCTTCTCAAAGGGCTATGTATATAATGGCCATGGAAATCAAACTTTGTGTTTCCAGCACTCGATTAGTGCTTAGGTTCACATTGAACTCTCTCTTGAAGCATAGTGTGTAACTGATAACCCTTGGTACTTATCAGGTTGAGAGGAACAGGCAGCCATTGTGGGTCACTTGGCTTCCATTTAGTCATCACCTGTAGGTCAGACCAGTCTCACCTGAGACCTGCTCCAGCCCTCCCAGTGGCTCCAGGAGTCTCTCTGCAACCCGAGCCCTGGCTCCCAGCTTGGCACCAGCGACCCCAAGCAAGTGAGTTAGTTGGATGCCTTTGTGCTCCAGCTGGAATATATATTTATTTCATATATATTTAAAGGAGATTTTTTAATATATATATATGGGATCTTTTTTGTAGTTATGTTGTAAAGAGGCCTCTGGAGCTGGAGGCAGTGAGGCTGCCGGAGGAGGGTGGGCATG